AATGAGGGTGAACTTCGTATGAACGACCTATAGCGTTGGACATCTGCAGCAACACCTCTAGTGACGAATGCCCGAGAGGCGAAATCAAGTTGTTGAGTAGTATCTGGAAAAGGATTTCGTTCAAAGACCAGGAGATGACGAAATCCGGAAGAGTGACCCTTTAGCTTACAAAAACCCCTTAAAAGGGTCGCTGCCCCAGTCGTTGAAATTAATATATTGAGAGGTACCATACCTAGCGATGCAATATGCCAATGTAGGTGGCTTTTATGTGGTGGATATTTTTCAGAAAGTTCCATTTTCATTCTCTATACATCATGAACACTGAGTAAGCGAGAACGAAATGTATAGGTGTGTGTGTGTTAGTATTGGTCTAAGTAACTCCGTTTAATTTCTCCCTCTGTTCCTAGCCACAGGATGCTTGACCCCCTTAGTCATTCATATGCATTCAAATATCGTACTTTTACTGAGTATCTATACGGGATATATTATACCCCACTGGATGCAAGGATGGTGGAACAGTTTACGTGAATACTAGTGGACAGAAAGAGGATTTTGACAGTACCGAACGAATAAAATGGGCACATAAAAACAGAAGCCCAGTAATGGGACCTAGACAAGGTGGTCCGTTTTAGAAATACTAAGTAGTCTCTCAAAGGAGGTCGAGCAAACGCCTAGTGTTATGACAACAGAGTAACCATTGAGTTAGTTAATGTTTGGAGAAAACCATTATCTCTGTTTCCAGCTCAAAGTAATCGGACTTTATCTGAGGCACCCTGGAGATGGTACAAGGGGTACAAAACATGGGACAAACAGCTCCAGCCAAGATACTTGAGGCTGGTACTATGAAACTCCCCCGTCATCCTTGAGTCACTCTGCTGCCCCTTATCATTTTCCGTCCGTTTCTCTTTTGAACCGTTTGAATGACCATTATCACACATGTCCACCACACCCAGATCATAAGTTGCGGTACAGACACTAAAGGTATCGTATTAGTCAGTTTTCACTGCCGTTGTAGTTGCATGTTAGCCACCAGTGAGGAAACTTACCTTCAGTTAGTAGTGCATACCACTGGACTGCTAAGTCGGGATTCCCAAATCACAAATTGCCTCGGTACTACTGAACATGTGTACTATAATATTCACGTTTTGCCTACCATAGAGAAGGAACAACCCTTAGGTACTGGTCCGGAAATGAATTTGGCAGTGCATGTCCAAGTATGGTCACAAAGGAGTCGTTTATATTAAACTTTTACGGAACAAATTGTGGTTGTTCGATGCCATAAATCTTCGTATCGACCAGAGGACAGAATACCATATTCCATACTTGTCAATTCAACGGTGTGTACAGTCATTCCAAATGTAAGCATCATGCAATATTCTTGTACATACGATTATCAGACCACTGCAGCTGTCATTTTGATTCAGCACTAGTCATCCAATTCTTATTTAGCAGCAGGCTTGCACTAGGATAATCTCCTGGAGCAATGCGCATAACTATCGTTAAACAATTTGGCATCAGAGAACATTCCGATCAAAAGTAATACTTTTCAAAACACATTTTGAGAAAAAGCAGAGGTATGCGCTCTCCAGTCAGTGAAGTGTTCTCCGAGTCAATTAGAGCAACCATACTGGCTTCCGGTCCAAGCTGTACATCATGACTTGTCGCAACACGGGATCACTATACTGCTCAAGCCAGTAATCAAGCTCGTTGTCTAGTAAAGTGAACGCGTATTGGAGATACGCAGTATAGCTAAAATGAAGTTCGTGAAGTTCAGATATCCTGGTTGACTACCTAATCGGAGATTTTCTTTCCAAGTTGGGGTGAGTTTAGGAAAAAAGACATTCCTGTATAGTGGCAGTAGCGCAGATTTGGCTGAAAATTTTCAGCTCATTTTGAGGGGTCCGGTATTGACCATCAATATGTTTACTAGTTTCATGCACAGGGTTTCGCCCCAGGACAAGAAAATCCATCCACACTTGTTCTCTCAAGAGGACAGCTCCTGTCAGCATCTACAACTACACTTTATTTTCAGTTTTTTGGTCGTGTATCGTCCGGGGGATCGTGCGGTTTGCCCTTCGTGGTCCATGCCTAGGCTAACAAATAGAATGGCTAAACAACATTCCTTGTTTGTACCGATCTTTCACAGTATCACAATTCACTCTCTTGGCCACATCAGCACGGGCTGAACAGACCAACAACCGAAGTCTCGGTCATTATGAGCAATGCCTTTTTGTCTTTTCTACCCAAAGATGTTAAATAAAAAAAGCGACCAAGTCATACAAAACCAGTTCGGGTAGACAGTTCCTGTACAAGTTCGGGTGGAAGTAAAGTTTTGATACCAATATAAGGGAGAAAATCTGTAAGAACGCGCCCCTGAACACATTAATTTCTTCTTGCTTGCATTAGAAGAAATGGCCCCATTCACTTCTACGACACAGTTGTGTCTATCATCATGTTGAGAGAAAACAAATCTGCATCCCTCAACAATCACTTACTTTACCGACTCCATATAGATACCAATGTCAATCACGTGAAGCTACTAAGCATATGACTGAGCATGATGTGGATCCCACGTGATACAAGATGACGCTGATTTTTAACTAGAAGTGCAGTTAAAGCACTGCGCTTCTATTGTTACGGGAAAGATGACTTGTTAATAGGCATTTCGACCCAGCTCTATGGGATAAAACCGAAATGTTAAGAATAAACCCCCTAGCAACCGCATTCGACTAAATGGGATATATGTGTTGTATACTATTCCAAGTAAAGCATCAAGAATGTTAACTGGAACTCAGCAAGTAGCTGGCATGTATGGGAGTTTAAAACGACTCACTGAATCGTCCAAAAAGGAAACCCAGTGTTGAATTCCTCATGTTGCTGAAGCACAAAGCACATTGGTACTTCATCCTGACTAGTGCGGACAGCACTAAACCAACAGTGGTTATCAGCGCATACTATTTGAAAAAAGGCAGAGGTGGTGACAATTGTTCATCCATTAGTCATGTTGTATGCAACAAACAAGGTGTCCAGACCGATACTGCCGAGTGGCAACCAATGCGATAAAAGAAGACTCCCGTTGGGACGACTACTGCTAGTTTGGCAGTTAGCTTCACGCTCAGACCTGGACGAAGGCGCAATTACGGCCCGAATTCCAAACAGCTAGACAGCAGTCGTTAGCACTGAGTTGATAGAGGCGCGAATTTCATAGGACCGGTTTTCAGACATGCACAAGAACGAATATTATAACTTTAGCTAGGACTGTAGTTACTGACCTGGGGTCACTTCTTACACTTCCTTTTTCTCTTCACTCTTCAGGGGTCTTCTGCCCTCATGGTTGTATGCCAGTTAGGCGCCAGCACGTGTTACGGGCGTCTTCCTTTGCACAATGCTCATTCGAACTTCTCATCGGCTACGCGTGTGAGTGGTAAAAATCGAGCACGATGAGGACAGGACTCAATCGTCAGAGATACATTAACTTCTGTTTTAAAAACTATTATATATATATATATATATATATATATATATATAT